ACCACATATGGCTCTATATCTTCTGTTTCTTCCGGTATTCCTTCGAGTTCTTTCCCGTTCCACACATCTTTTCTTGTAGCGCATTTCGAATGCACGACATAGCCAGGACACTTTTGACAAGAATATCCCCCGCAAGTCCAGTCCACCTTCTGGCGACAAACCCCACATACAGAATTCAGTACACCAAGAAGAGAAGTGCGAGAAACACGGTGCTCGTGCCGGTTGATGTTTATGAGGCGGGGAAGGGTAATGCAGTCTTGATGGATCATGAAACCACATTGAACACATATATAAGGGCTTCGATCTCCCTTGAGCCCGCAAGCATTACATGTAAAAGAATCCAGTCTTGGAAGAAGGGTGAGTTGGTGATCATGAGCTTTCAAATCCACAAGATGTCGGGGAGGTGGGTTCAACACACAACACATATCCAAGCTGAAGTTGCAAGAAGAGCAATGATAAAACAGCTTATCATATATCCGTCTTCCGCAAAGACGACATCTACTATCAGAATAGTCCGGAATCGACCAGTGAGGAGCTTAAGAGGGTGTAAAGAATGGTAAGGGTGGTTAACCTCTGACGGGTGTTCAACGTCCGACGGATTCAGTAAAGAACGGAAGGCTAAGTTACACAAAATACATTTGTAAGGAAATCCTTCACATTTGCCATCACGATCGAACTTGACCCGGTCTTGGAAAAAGATGAGCTCGTGGCCATGCGGCTCCAAATTGTCAATAAGCCTTGGTGGTGGGTAATTGGCACAGTGTAGATCGAGGTCGAAGTCACAGATGTTACAACGATATAATAGGTTCACGATATCCCTTCCACATTTCTTGCATCTTTTATCTTGTGGGTCACTCTGAAGCCGAAGAGTGTGACCTGAGTGAAGTGGGTGTTCCATATATTCAGAGGACTCGCCGCATATCTTGTGGACGAAAAAATCGCAGATTTTGCAATAGTAGCCATCAGTGATAGATTCGAAGCGTCCACAGCAATCACCTCTTCGCATTTCATTCCAAGGCACCATAAGATGCTCGTGTATCAATGGTAGTGACACTCCCTCAGATTCCATGGTTGTACACTACGAAACCGAAGAAGAACAGTTGGAGGAATAAGAAAGATTGGATCTGTCTCCTCTATTCTCTTCTTCTCTCCACTCAAATATTATCCTCAAGTTTATTTTATTGATTTTTCTTTTTATTGAACAGTTGGCTTCAAACATACGTATTAATTGGAAACATACGTATATATTTTCCGGAGTAAAATAGTGATTTTAGATTATACAATGGATAAAAAAGTCTCAAACACTAAGCTTGGGACAGAAATCTAAAGTCACAAAAGGAGAAGTAAACTCATCGAAACAAGCCATCCTGATACGCTCCGGAGTCGCAGGAGTGTCCAAAGGGAACCATTTGTTGCCAAGACCCATCTCGGCTCTAGCCGCTTTGATCGCATCTTTAATCGCAAAGAAAACCGATGACGCCAGAAAAAACGGTGGCTCACCAACTGCTTTTGATGAATGTATCCCCTTTGAATTTGGATTCCCCTGATGAAAATGAAAAACCCTCTTGTGTCAGTTTCTTCAGAGGCAAGTAAAGTAACAAAGCTTTTGTAGTTGCTTACCTTGAGCAGAGAAACCTTGAAGTTGATGGGAATGTCGTTAATGGAAGGTATTTTGTAGTTTCCCGGTCCGGAGTTGAGTAGATTTCCCGGTTTAATCCATTTATGAGCTGCATCTCCCCATTTCAGTTCTTCTAGAGCTACCCAACCTAGCCCTTGTACGAATGCTCCTTCTATCTGCAAAATGATGATTTTTTTCAGAATTCAGACACAACAACAACACACTGTCTCTTCTTGAATTTAAGGAGAAGAGTGTGTACTTGTCCAATATCGATGGCTGGGTTAAGAGAATATCCAAGGTCCAACTTTATATCGACTGTTCTTGTGTGGAAGTCACCAGTTAATGTATCGATCTCAACTTCGGCAAATGCAGCTCCATAGGTGTAATATCTAAATGGGTTTCCTTTTCCAGATTCCCAGTCAAAGCCAATCTCGGGAACAATGTGAAAACCGTGAGCAGACAGGTCTATCCGTTGAAAATAGCACGCACTTGCCAGCTACAATAATACTCAAAAGCTATCACATAAAGATAATTTGTTCATCAATAAACATTACTTGATTCAATAAGACTTACCTCAGCAAAAGAGCTGAAATTAAGCTTGGACGCAACAGGCTCCATTCGTGCTTTAATCTGCTCACAAGCGTCCAACACTGCAGCACCGTACATATCAGAGCTCACAGAAGCAGCAGTTGGTGACGCATTTGGAACCTATCAAGAGACAAACCGTAAAGAATAAGAGAGCAAGAACATTTTTTGTGCTCTCCCTGAAACCATATTTACATTTTTTTTAAATTATACCTTGTCTGTGCTTGTCTCTGACACAAAAACTGAACTAAGGGGAATGTTAAAGGCGGACGCAGCAACTTGTGCAACCTTTGTATGCAATCCTTGACCCATCTCCACACCTCCATGTGTTACCAAAACAGTACCGTCGGTGTAAACATGGACCAGAGCACCGGCCTAATATGGCAAAATAAAGTTTGATAAGTATACAACAACCAAGATTCTTGCTTTGCTTTACAAAAAGAATCCACCAAAAGCAAAAAAGTACCTGGTTCATGAATGTTTTAGTAAACGATACGCCGAATTTTGTGGGAACCATAGCCACACCACGCTTTCTCCACCGATTGAGGCTATTATACTCGTCGACTTCTCTACGAGCTTTAAGAAAGTTGCAAGATACTTTCAGCTCCTTCCAGAGCTGATGCAATGTGCAGTTCTGAAGATGCTGAGAGTAATGCGTGATAGAACCTTCCGTTTGAAAGTTCATCTCCTAAAGTTACGTAAACACCAAGAAAACATCAAAACAAAACCGATGATTGGAGAGCAGAGTCTTTAAGAAAGACATTTCAACTCACTTTTATATCTTCAGGGCTTCTATCAAGTTCAGCTGCGACTCGCTGAATCCAGTTTTCAATTATAAGCATACCTTGAGGGGCTCCAAACCCTCGGAAAGCAGTGTTGCTGGGAAAATTAGTGAAACAAACGTTCCCTGTGATCCTCACATGCGGGATCTCATAAACATTATCCGCGTTGAACATGGCAATTTCGAGAACAGCATGCGAAAGATCCAAAGAGTTTCCACCATTGTTGTATATTTCAAGGTCATACGCCAATATTTTTCCTCCATTTGTAAAACCAACCTTGTACTTTCCGACAAAACTATGACGATGACCAGTTATCATCATGTCCACATCTCTGTCCAGTATGAGTTTCACAGGTCGGTTCAACAGGTAGGAAGGGACAGAAGCTGCAGCAGCTATGAAGGCCGATCTCGTTTCCTTGCCACCAAAGCCACCACCAAGACGTTTGGTTTTGCATACAACTTTAGACATTGGAAGACCGAGAACACGAGAAACATATTGCTGGTGCTTATGAGGATCCTACATACAAATCACATATTGCTCAAGCAGAAACAACATTTTCATTTTAGATTATGTAACAACTAAAATAGTTATATGCTTACTTGAGTGGATGAGATCATATGAACTTCGTTGCCTCCATCAATTGTCCAAACCAAACTACCATGAGGCTCCATGTAAAAGTGTTCCTGACCACCCATTTGAACCTCTCCCTCTATTATTCTATCACATTGTGCCGATTGAAAGCATAGCTCTACATCTCCTTTTCTTAGCATTTTCTCTGTGTTTGGGTGGAAACTTTTAGCATCGAGAGCCTCCTTGATTGATAATATCGATGGTAATTCTTCATACTCAACTTCAACTTTTCCTGCCGCAGTTTTTGCATTTTCATGTGTATCCGCAACAACCACACCAATGACCTGAAAGAGCCAGATAAGTGTTAAGAACACGTTTTGCCTGTAACACTTCCTCTGAGACACAGAGAAACATAAAGCTCCTCGCTTTGAAAGAAAGTGAAAACTGAAAGTTTCGAATCTTCTTACTTGTCCCACACACGTCACCACGTCCGTAGCAAATAATTCTTCGTCAGCAACCACCGGTCCAATCATATTATCCGCGGGAACATCTTTGGAAAGAAACAGACCAGCAAAACCAGGCGAAGATTTGGCTGCCGAATCATCAATTGAAAGTAAGCGAGCATGTGGCATTTTGCTTAGCACCAAAGCAGCATGCAAGGTATTAGGAGGCACCGGAGTATCATCAGTATATTCCGCCTCCCCTGTGACCTACATGAAGATTCAAGAGTGTGAGCTCATGTGTCATACTAATATTGGAGAATCAAAGCAATTTTGAGAACATTGGATGGACCAACATACTTGCATTCTCGCTGACTGATGGACTTCCGGCAAGCCGACAGACGTTCCATGTTTTACTGTCTCATAGTCTTGTCTTCCAACTCCACACTGCCGAGAAAATGGTTGCAAAGCTGACATATGGGAGGATGGGAAAGTCTCTATAGTGGGGTTGACATCACGTATATGATTTGAAACCCATAAGAAAAACTTAAGGAAGAAGCTTAGGATTAGAGATTTCCGAAACTCCACCATTCCACCAGGAGCATTTTCATCGATTAAGACATCACTTTGTATGACCTTTAACGCATCTTGCAGAAGACCTTTATTCCAACTCTTTCCTATTAGAAACTCCTCAGTCTTTCTTGCACGCAGAGAAACCGGAGCCACACCACCAAAAGCAACTGATGCGTCAGAAACGAACAATTCTTGTTCTTGACCTCTCTTTTCAAGAAACACACGCATTCCACCATTGACAATAGCTATATCATCATCCCTACGGTGTGACTGTTTAAATTCTTTCACGTACTCCAAGGGCCTTGTCCATGGTAGGAATACTGACAACAAGATCTCATTGCTTTCCATATCCACTTTACGATAACCAGTGAAGAAATCTTTTGCAGGGACGGACCTAACATCTCCACTGCAGTTGATTATCCGGAACTCTGCTCTCGAAGCCATCCAAAGAGGATTCAGATCAGATATTGGACTAGCTGTACAGATGTTTCCACCAATGGAAGCAACATTTCTTATCTGTGTCCCAGCAAACCACTTCAGCTTTTCAACAAAAGCCTTGCAAGCTGATGTCTCATGTGCAGGACGCTCATTTACAACCCTCTTGAATAGCCTCACGAGCTCAGAGAGTCTCAAAGCAGCACCAACCTCTACCCCATCGTCATTGACATTCACCGTGTTGAGTTCAGGGACTTGAGCAACAGATATCAGCACCTGATACTCTAACCTCTTTAGCCTCATTTCGATTCCCACCTCTGTATTACCTACCAGTAGTTTTGCATCAGGATGTTTCGCCTTGAGATCAAGCAAGTACTGAAGCCTTACGGGTCTGTACCAAACAAGCCCTCCATTTCCTCTCAGCATTAAAGAAGCTAGTTTCCTCAGAAAAAGTTCAGGAGGGAAAATAAGCTCCTTTTCTGTATACTTAGCCCCATCTGTCTCACTATAAGAGATAGGCTGAAATCTATCGCCATTACAAGTGCCTGCTGATCCACATGAACAAGGTTCACCAGTAGATGGGCAAATACTTGAACCATCTTGAAGACTAAGAGAAGATAAACCACTGTACAGAGCATCATTAGTTTTCGCAAAAACCCGAAACGCATCAACAATCGGTCTGTAACCAGTGCAACGACACAAGTTTCCTGCAAGGCATTCTTCAATCTCCTCCTCAGAAGGTGGGGTTTTATTTGACCTCAGTAACGCATACATCGACATGATAAACCCGGGAGTGCAAAACCCACACTGGGAACCATGAGAAGATGCTAATGACTCCTGAGAGAACAAGAATCACACCACGTTTTAGCAACATAGATTCTTTAGAAATGAGAAGAAAAGTAGAACTTAAATTCACCTGAAGTGGGTGCAAGCCAAGTTTGTGGTGACCAACTCCCTCAATGGATATTACATGCATTCCTTCTACAGAATAGAGAGGTGCTAAACAAGCGTTGACAGCATAATGCCTGCAATTACAGAAATAATCAACAAGAAGGCTATACTTAGGCAACCTAGAAGCAACGTATAGAGAGAGAGAGAGAGAAAGACGCACACGCATGTGTTTGATGTTCTGTCATAATTAGAGACCATGACCGTGCAAGCCCCACAACCACCTTCGCCGCATCCCAGCTTTGTCCCGGTCAGCCCTGAATCTAAAGGAAACAAGAAAATCAGATGTATAAAAATCAAAATTGAACTTGTCGAGTACTTTCAATCATTTCCAACACCAGAAATTTATCAGAACTCTAAGACCAAAATAATAGAGTCAAGGAAGTGAGCATGTAACTGACCAACCTCTGAGATATTCAAGAAGTGTCGTATGAGCCAAGCCATCAGGAAGGACTCTACGAACGCCATTAATGTACAGTATCGCCTCCGTATATCCCATCTCTCCTTCCTTCTTCAATAAACCCATAATAACTCAGTGATTATCTTTGATGAAACTCTTTGATTTCAACTTGAGAGCGGACTAAAGCAAGAAGATGGAGAAATTGATGATGCTTAAGTCAAAGTCAAGCGCATAAATTTCTTTCTCTCTGAATAGTCTTTTCTCCATTATGTACAAGCAAAAGCAAATCCTTTTTTCTAAAACATCTAAAAGATATTCAATAGTACCGTTTTTAGTCGTTACCAAACGTTGTTGAATTTTCAACGGTTGAAAATTCCGGCAATTTGTCGCTCAGCGACGTGAAACGAACAACGCCTACATTTCTCTTTCCTGCTTCAAATCGTGGTTAGATCCCAAAAACTTGATCCTATCCTTTTTCGAAACAGATTCGATTCCATAGGATTAAGCAATCCTTGCAAATTTTGGTGGAGCTGCTGCTTTTAGTTCACAGTGAGGGTTTAAGCGGTGGAAGAGCAGATCTCCGAATCACATGGTGCCTACCGTGCCTTGTATATCTACGGCTACATTGAGTTCGTCTAATTTCTCCGGTAAAGATACGGCAAAGTTTCGCCATGGCGATGAAACGGCTACGTGGACGGTGACGCTCGACTCACTGAAAGTAAAAAAATGTTACTATTAGTTATGGGCTTGGGCCATTTAGCTATGGGCCGAGGTTTACTTTGAAATTTGCGTATCAATTTGAACTATTGGACCGAGGTATAGTTTTGTTTTCATTGATTAATTTGAACAAACCTAAAATAGAAGAAACACAAATGAATCAAAAGGATCAAAAGTGAAAACATCTTTCAAGATAATAGTATTGAGTCTCAATTATCAACAAAAACCAAGTTACATTCATAAATAAATATATAATATCATCTTTCAAAATTGAACAAAGAAACAAACATAAATCTATAATGTTACGACGTCGTTGTGCTCTTTGTATTCCAAATAAGAGATTTGTCTCTGCAACTTGATCTGCTCATAGAACTTAGCAATGAACTCCTCTGCTCTCACATCCACCCCTTTCTCTTCTTCCTCATCATCCTTCACCGTGGTGCGATCACACTCTTCCGTATAAGATTCATCGTAACCGTACGATCTCACCTCATCGGAATCATCTTCACCGTCCATTTCAAAGTCATAGCCAAACTCTACAGGAGGAGCAATGCAGGGGAGGAGGGACCTGAGAGACGTGGGACGAGGCATCTTCTTCTTGACGTTAAATAACGGTGTTTCATCAAAAGAAAGCTGACGTTCACCGTAACGGGAGAGGTAGCTGTCACCATTATTATGATGAGCTAGGGCTTTGAGATGCTTGGAGAGCAAGTTACGTAGTTCGAACAAAGGCCATCTTTTGAAAACTCCACCTTTTCTCCCCCAGAGAAGAGCCATCCTCACGAGACTCCAAGCTTTATGTTTTACTGCGCTTCTACTGATTTTCTTCTTCGATGAATCCGCCATTGACGATTGATGCTCTGCAAAATATTGGTTCTTGGTGGTGGTTTGATCTGAGATTTGAGATTTTTTTTGTATGTATAAAAAGTGAAGTGAAGCTTTTTTTTTCTAGTGCTGGTTGGTTTTGGTTCTTGAAATGATTGTGTGTGTATGTATATATATACAAAAGAGTGCAGCTTTTGCTTCTTGTTTGCAATTTGCCCAACGCGGAGTAACAAATAAAAATATATTATCACATGTAATGTAACCAAAAAGAAGAAGAAAAGAAACTGGTTATCCTACGTGACAGCCTCATAGGCATTGAGCATTTTTTGTCTGAACTTTTTTGTCATTGATTAAGAAAAATAGAATTTAATTTCTCATTCAAGAACTCGAAATTTTAATACTTACATGTTTTTAATAACATATTTATAAGAGAAATTTTAAGACAAAAAATATTCATTTAGATTACATCGGAAAAGAAACATGCTTTGAGAATTTTGTAAGTATTTCCAAGAAATTTAAACAAAAAAAGATTTAAAGAAAACTTTACAAATAAGTTCATGTGGGTCACGGCTGTACGCGGACCATATCTTAGCTGTGTTTAGCCGTTTTGTTTCTCTATTTTACGCTTTTCTGTTTTATTTATTTTGTCGGTTTATGCTTTCTTATAAAAACCCTTTAAACTATATATGTATATTTTATTTATTTTTATAGTATTGTTTCAGTTCAACCTCTTTCAGTATTTTTGTTGTTTACAACCTCATTATTAATTTCAAGTTGCCAGTCTTGAGATGTGTACATTTAGATATTGTGTTTCTTTTTCAGTTTAAAACTAAAATTTATATGTTATGAAACAACGTTTTGCCGTTTATACAAAAAAAAAATCTTGATTATAGTAAATAAAAAGACAAAAAAAAATTATATTTATGAAATGCAAATATGTATGGGGTATTATAATTATCGCATAACTCGAAGTCTATATATACTTAGCTATTAAGGTGGCGCCATCTTAAGCCTTAAGGCCCTTAATTAACCTACAACTTACAAAGGTTTGTTACAGAGTTAAGGTTATTAATTTATTAAAGGAAATTTAACACACAAAACTGGAACTTTCGTTGTAATGAAATAAAGATAATAATTAAAATCAATTAAGCTTGAGACTTGCGAGAGAAGGTTGGATAATTAATTTAGTTGTGTGTGCCGTTGAATCATGTTGTTGCGGCTGTCTCCTTATTTCGTTACTAGTTTACACGAAACCGTGTTCCATTTCTAGGTACTGTAACGTGCTTTCTTTTTGGATCTGAGAAATATATAGATTCATGTATCTTTTAGTAATTTACTATTTTTCAACTTTTCAGAATAACGATATTGACAAACAACAACAATTTTGTTCAAACTTCAAAGTAAAATGTGAAAATTACAGTATACAAAATGCCTGGCGAATAATACTGTAAACTTTCGAGTGTTCGTTTATTTTTTTTTGGTAAAATGAGTGTTCGTTTAATTCTTTTGTTATACTCGCTAGCTACCTTTATTCCGGAATGTAGGTTAAATTCTTTTGAAGATCACGGTTGGAGATTAAAATTCGAATCGATGTAATGGAGTGACGAGTGATTTTGTAATTGCAACATCAAATTTTACAAGGTGCTGCAAAATGGGGAGCTATTGTTATATTGGACTTGTTATATGTATATTGATATGTGCTGAGGCTTTTGCGTATGATAAATTAATTGAAACGTAAAAAAACAAACAATATTTCGGTGGAATATTTATAAAAATGGGTTTCAAAAATTCCGGGGTAAATACCGTATAATCCGACCAACTTGAGGAAAAATACAAATGTGTATAGCATGATATATGGACTATGTATGTATATGGAAAAATTAACAGCCTGGAACTTATGATTTGTGCCACTTTTGCATGGAACCATGTTTTGAGGCTTTTCTCCGTGCAAGTAACTTAGTTAGGGTTCCCATCATTATTCATTTGTCTTTCAATTATTAGTCATTTCTTCCTAATTTAATTGTTCAGGTAATGTTAATTGTGAGGGCGAAATAACAAAACTAAAGTAGTGTTTAAAAAGTAAACAAAGGAATCCATAACTAATTTAATTACGTACTTAAATAATTAGTAGTAAATAATCGAGTTTAGTTTTATAGCTGTCTTGCTTTTCTTTAACTTCCTCCTGCCGTAACTACCGCATGAAGAGCGCGCTGTCTTTTCTAGTTATGACGTGAATGCTCTCATGAGAGACAGCTTTTACTTTCACCGTTAAACCCGAAACTCTTCAACACACACTTTTTTAACCCTAATATTTTAAAACTGTCAAATTACACCACTGTGTTTATTTTCATATAAATAGACATAATTAAACATATTTTCTTCCTTGGGATCTTCTTTCAAAATTCTTCTTCCCTGCTTATTGCAGGGAAAGCCCCAACCCCCTTCTTGAATCTCTTTTTTGTTCACTATCAATTAGCCCTTTATATATGGAAATTAAAAATCAGATCAATGGTGGCGATGAAGAGATCAAGAATAAGGTGAAGAAGAAACGATCACGCATGCACGTGATCAGTGTCGTTTTATACATGCTTCGCCGTCGTAGGAGAAGTAAGCCGTTTAATAACGGGTTTTGGCGGCGAGTTGTGGAGCCCTTCCGGCTGTTGAAAAACGATGATATTACGACACTGACATCCTCTTCTACGGCGAAGGAGGAAGCTCCAACGAGTGGTGACGATCAGGTATCAGAGATGGTTGAGGTTTTCACGGCACCGTCTAGTTCTTCCGCTTCGGGAATCTCTGGATATGGTTCGGCAAAGTCGTTACGCGATTTGGATTGTCTTGGTGAAGATGATTATGATGATAACGATGACGATGATGATGATGATGAAGAATGTTATGGTGATGATAATGGAGGTGATGAGATGATTGACGCGAAAGCTGAGGAGTTTATTTTGAGATTTTACGAGCAAATGAGGATGCAAAATCAGGCCTACACAGGACGTTACAAAGCCAATGTGATGATGACGGTTAAGAGTTGAAGCATATTATATGACACAAACATATGATTTATTTATGCATCATAAAAAAAAATTATGCATGCATGGAGATGTGCATGTTTAATATTGTTTCGAAACATTTGATTTAAGTATTTATGGACAAAAAATAAAAATATTATTAACTTTTTGGTTTGGGGATTCCAGTAGTCTTGACTACTCTTATTTTTCTATTGATTGATGAATTTGTAAGAAGTTTTGCAATAATAACAAACTAGGGTTTGACCCGCGCCCTGCACGGGGTGATGGTTTCTGAATTTATATTTTATTAAAAGATGTTTTTTTTGGTAATTTATTAAAAGATGTCTATTTAAATATCCCAAAATTTTATGTGACGGGTTTTTAATCTTTGTTAGATTATTGCCCTCGTTTATTCGTTTATAATATGAAAATTAAGCATTTTAAACTATTTTTTAAAAAGGTAAATATATTAAAGTCTTGAACGTAGCCATATATTAAATATGATAGATTTAAGCAAGATACATGAAACTCAAATGACTGCAGTATAATAAGTTAGTTTAAAGAACAAAAAAGTGAAAATAAAACATTATTCTTTACAAAAATGTATACTGTATTTCATAAGATAAGAAGTCTTAGCTGTGTGCACACAGATTATAATTATTATTATTTTCTTTCTTTTAAAACTAAAACACGGATTAAAATCAATTTTTTTTTCTTTTTTTCAAAACTAAAACATGGATTAGAACTATTTTTTTTTTTCTTTCAAAACTAAAACATGCTTTATTATAATTTCAAAACAAATCAACCAATAAGAAGACAATCTGCATGATCTAAATTGTTAAAATAACAAAAATATAATTAACTTTATATTGAAAGTTGAAATAGATGGAATAATTGTTACACTAAATGAGGTTATATACTAAACAATTTACATTATTTTGTTTTAAAAAATTCAAATCATAGCATATACAGAAAAAAAATTAGATTTTCTTTATTAGTTTTTTTATATTGTGATTCATATTATTTCATAAAATAAAGTTGAACAAAGATGATAGGGGATATATAATGATTTTTAAAAAAATATTATGATAGAATTCAATTGAATTTCATAACTTCCTTATTTACTTATTTTCGTAATTGTCAATTAAGGAAATAAAATAATAATAAATGGATGGTAAGCATAATATGCAATGGCACAATTTGTAATTTCTCTAGTAAAGCTTGTCTTAATTAGAAATTAGGAACCTGGTGATGACACACAGTGGCACTCTTGTTAATAACACAATGGACAAAGGTTATTTAGTTAGTGTTTTTCTTAGTGTTTTCTCTTTTAATATATTAGGGATCATATAAATTCTACTTTGTACACTTTTCATTATCCCTTTGTCACGTTGGGCTAAATTTGATTTGTGTTTGGGCTATGTAATAAGTTATTTGGGCTTCAAAAGCCATTTAAGTTAAAAGTATTCGGTGGAGAAAATTAAGGGAAAAAATATTGGCGAATCGTTAAAATACTAATTAGTTACCTAGAAAAGCAGAGAGACGTTAAGATTCAAATTCAAAAAAAATGACACGGCAATTTCGTAATTAACACTATCATTTAGGGTTATTATCGTATTAACAATACTCTCTACTAAATCGTGTGCCTCCTGTGTATACGCTCTTATATATATACGCAGCATCAACTCCTAAACCCTTAATACTCTCAACAAATCACTCTTCGTCTTCTCGAAATCAAAATTGATCGCTCGAAGTCGTGTTGATCTTCCGATCGCTAATCGCTGATTCTTCCGATTTCCGATCGAGTAAGCGACGATGTCTCTCAGGCCTAGCGCGAAGACGGAGGTCCGACGGAACCGGTACAAAGTGGCGGTCGATGCGGAGGAGGGACGGCGGAGGCGAGAGGATCACATGGTCGAGATCAGGAAGAATAAGAGGGAGGAAAATCTTCAGAAGAAGAGACGCGAGGGATTCTCTGCCGCCGCGCAAACTGGACAGGATCTTCCTTCGGCGATGAAAGTATGTGCTTCTTGTGTTCCCGATTCACTTTTACTTTCTGGAATTTTGGTGCCGATTTTGATCAATCAGATCGCATCCGTTTCAATTGGAGATCGAATTATTGGCTTAGCATACTTGATTTGAACTCGATTGGAACTTTTTTGCAATTGATAGGGAAATTTAACTTAGATTGCTAAATCTCAGAATCGGAATTTGAATTATAAGGTCTGTTTGAATGTTTGCATTGCAGTTGAAGGAAAATCTACCGGATATGGTTGCTGGAATCTGGTCAGAGGATAGCAAGTTACAACTGGAAGCAACAACTCTCTTGCGGAAATTGCTTTCAATTGGTTTGTGATTTTGGTTACTTATTAATTGCTTAGTTTATTAACAATTAGCGTTTTGGTTAGACTAGAGTCTTAACTGTTGGAATTTTGCCTTTGGTGTAGAACAAAATCCTCCTATCAATGATGTTGTACAGTCTGGTATTGTTCCTCGCGTTGTGACGTTTCTTTCAAGGGATGACTTTTCCAAACTTCAGGTGAGAGGCACTTTCAATATCGAGTTTTTCCATTGATAATCGATCTGTGCTATGTTTGTAAACTTGCTTATGCTGTTCGTTTCTGCGTGTGTATTAGTTTGAGGCAGCTTGGGCGCTCACCAACATTGCTTCAGGGACATCAGAGAACACAAATGTCATCATTGAAAGTGGCGCTGTCCCAATATTCGTCCAGCTTCTCACCACAGGTGATGAGGATGTTCGTGAACAGGCTGTTTGGGCATTGGGAAACATTGCTGGAGACTCACCAAAATGCCGTGATCTTGTCCTTAACTTTGGTGCCATGATGCCTCTTCTGTTGCAATTCCATGAGAATACAAGAAACTCAATGCTGAGGAATGCTACGTGGACGCTATCAAACTTCTGCAGAGGGAAGCCGCAGCCTTCATTTGAACAGGTTTCCTTCGAGAGTATACATTCAATATACATATATTTGGAGTCTCCATTATATATTTTAACATGCTGTTCTCTTTTGACTTTTGAGCAGACGAAACCATGTTTATCACATCTTGTGCGCCTTATTCAAACAACGGACGAAGAGGTCCTCACAGATGCATGCTGGGCTCTGTCATACCTCTCGGATAACTCAAACGACAAAATAGAAGCGGTGATCGCTGCAGGCGTTGTCCCTCGCCTCATCGAGCTCTTAGCGTGAGTATCTCTGATTGTGTAGCAAAATTAGCAATAACGGCATGATGATTATTATGTTAATCTGAAAATGCTTCCTCTCTTCTCTCTTGTTTCAGTCATTTGTCTCCAACAGTGCTGATTCCTGCTCTTCGTACCATTGGGAATATTGTAACCGGCACTGATCAACAGACTCAGGTGCATACATTGGTAATTCTACATCTGAGTTTCAAGGAAAAAAATGTCTCTAATAAACTTATTTTCCTGAAAACAGACGGTTCTCGACCATCAAGTGCTTCCTTGTCTTTTGAACTTTCTAACGAACTCTTACAAGAAGAGTATCAAGAAGGAAGCTTGCTGGACTATCTCAAACATTACAGCTGGGAGTTTTAATCAGATACAGGTGAAGTTTTCTTTTTAACAACAGAGTCGAAAGTCAAACTTTTTCTTGTGTCTGATTTGATATTTTTGTTTAAACCGAATGTGCAGCAAGTGATTGAAGCAGGTTTAATCCAGTCTCTTGTTTGGGTGCTCCATAACTCAGAGTTCGAAGTCAAAAAAGAAGCTGCTTGGGCAATCTCAAATGCTACTTCTGGTGGCACTAGTGAGCAAATCAAGTAAAAGCAAACAAAACTAAACCCCAAAGCCTAATCTTTCCTTGATAATAACGAAAGTCTTGATTTGTATAACTTGTCTTTTGGTTTTCTTGTCAGGTTTATAGTGAACCAAGGTGCTATCAAACCGATATGCGATCTTCTCAACTGCCCAGATCTAAGAATCATAACGGTCTGTTTGGAAGCGCTGGAGAACATTCTCAAGGTTGGAGAAGCGGAGAAGATCTTAGGTCACACGGGAGACGAAAACCTCTACGTTACACTGATAGAGGAAGCAGACGGAGTTGAGAAGATTGAGAATCTTCAGTCTCACGCCAACGACGAGTTATACAAGAAAGCCGTTGCCATCCTTGAGACCTATTGGACTGAAGACGATGATGAAGGAGGCAACGATGAGAATCACGCTCCGCAATCCGGTTTCCAGTTCGGAAGCCCTAATGTTCCTCCTGGTCAATTCAACTTCATTTGAAAGGTATGTCAAAGTTGAATTTTGAGTTTTATTATATAGTTTCTTGAACTTCTTTTTCAAGTTAATAGTGTATGTTTGTTTGTACTATTGCAGGACATATGAAGAAGAAGAAGAAGAAGAAGATATTTTTCTTTTGTCTTCCTCTCCATGCTCATTCCTCACAACTCGTGGATATGAAGAAACATTCTACAAGTCGTTTTTGTTCTTTTTTTAAGTTTGTGTTGTTTGGGGAAGAGAAACAATTTATGTTGGTGTTTTTTTTCAGTGACGATTCTCTTTATTACAATTCATGAGTGGAAATAAAAGTTTTGTTTGCTCTGTTATTAACCTCATTTTTACCCGAATTTTTAGCTTGAATAGGTCTTAGATTTGGCTTAATGATAGGAGAGATAAGTGGGAATTAAGAGGTTATTATCATGGTCATAGTTTATTACTGCGAGAAACTTGGGTTAAGCTTTGTGATTTTTTCGTATATTTAAAAAACAACAATCCTTATTGTTTTAATTTATCCATCCAGACAACAACATAAGCCAGGTATAATGCTGTCTTCACCAGCTTTTACTACAGCGGCACGTGCGACTCTTGGTCGTCGTCTTCTCGCCAAGAGATTAGCTTCTTCTGGTCGAACCGCTGATCCAAAGATTCATGCTCGTAACGATGGAGACGAGCCTAGTCTTTTCCCATCAGACCCCGATGTATCATCCTTTTTTTTTTTTGTCATTACTTACATTTTGATTCGATTTTACATTTTCATGACCTAGGATGCTTTTTTGTTGGGACCTAACCGACCAGATTATTAATGGTGATATGTTATTATTGTTGTAGGGTTTGGATGATGTAGCGAATCCTAAGACTCCAGCGGATGAGGATGTACCTGAGATTCGACCACCCGGTTTAGAAAAGGAACCGCTTAAGCCTCCCAAAAGTCCACGAGCTACTTCACACAAGCTTGAGTCTACTCCTGTTGGTCTACCCGCAGATCCCAGTTTGCAACAAAAACGAAAATAAAAACAGCAAACGCCTTAGCCACTGCTTTGGCCGTCTATTTTCTTGGGATACAAGAAACTTGCTATATTTACCAAAAGTTGTTTATGTCTTCGTATTTTGAGTTTATGTGATCTATGAGATTTGGCACAATAGATTTGATTCGAGCATAGATGACGATAAGAGACAGTTTTCACATGGTCCAAAAAGGGTTTCTCATTTGGTTCTTCCCCAAGATTCCTTCTTTGCTATCTCCACAAGCTGCAAATTTAAAGAGAATCACATTCCAAAGTTGGTTAAAGGAAAATAGGAAGAACACTTTTTTGGGCCGACATATAACTAACATTTTAACAAAATCACAAGACCTCTGTTCTCTCTTTCTTCTACCTTTGGAAAACTACTACTATAATCACCTCAAGATGTGTTAATTTGCAAGCTACGTAGTTAATAGAATGCTCTTGTCCGTAACCAAATCATAATTTTATTGATGTTATTCATCGGTCGCCGTTGACGGCTCTGTAAAACAACGAGACTAATAGTCCCACCGACAACACTTAATTGTGAAATACTCGTGATATATTCACATGTGTGTCATCATTTATGGTTTATCCGTTTGTGACATCATTTTTGTATAGGTATAGAAGACTACATGCTAATATACGAGTTTTTACTTATATCAAAACTTGATCATCGATTCATAGGTTCCGTCTTAAATCTCATCTCCTGGATTAATATAAAAGAAAATGAGCCGGGTCTTGGGACCCACACGAGACAGAAACTGAGTGAGAATCCGAGTCAGGACCCGAGTGATGGTCGTGGAAGCCAGCCTGGTCTGAATTGTAATGGGCCAATGTGGTTCTGAAGCGTAGACCGTACGGACTGTTACCATGTGCTTTAAAGACCAACATCACATTTCACAGTGTGTTTAAAAGAAAAACAAATCACAAAATCAAACTTTTTTTAGTGTCTATTGCGCTTTATTTTCATTTAATACGGTAATAAATGGTACTACCTGACTACATTTACAATGTTGGATTTGACATGGACACGCGGTGAGCTATTAATGGTGTTTAGAGAACGAAAAAAAAAGGTGTAAATTTTCTCAATTAATGAATTAACTTATCAAGAAGAGTACGTTTACGTACGTGTTAGATTTTACATAGCAAAAGGAAATTTAAGATTCGCATTGGTCGTGTCGCTTGTGTCAGACTAAACGACGGACGTATTAACGTAGATAAAACGGGCCCACAATGAAAAGCTACGAGATGTATTAAGTGAAAATTTGAAAACTGATGAACATAAACTGATAATTTGATATAACTATGGAGTTGATAAAGATTGTTTGATAATTTGGTTAATGAATCAATTGTGAATTAACTAGACATAGGGTCTAAATGGTAATTGCAAAATGTTGCTGAATGCGGAATCTGGCGGAATTAAATTGTAACTTTTTGCGGAATCTGGCTGAATAGTTAGTATTGTGAATGGTAACTGCTGAATGTTGCTGAATGCGGAATGTTGCTGAATGCGGAATAAATCTAACAAATTATTTGTGTAACAGAATAACAAAATATTCATCCAATTAAATTAATAAAATAAATATAAAAATTTACTTGTAAAACAATTAAATATTAGTAAACTCAAATAATTTTTAAAATATGGGATTTAAGAATCATAATTTATAATAATTTATTTATTAAACACCAAAGTTAAAAAACAAATTTCAATTTTTTTTATCGATTTATAAATGAGAACCGTCTCATAATTGCTAAGCTGCTTAATTCTCTTTCATATTGTATTCATATAAATTTTAGATGGTATAATAACCTAAAAAACTATATTAAATCTTCTTATAATTGAGTTTATTGTTTTAAGTGGTATAGACACCATTCGTTGTTCTCTTGTTTTTGCACAAAATATATGTGTTATAATTATTTAAAAATATATAGTAGATCTTATTATAACTTATACTAAAACAAGTATTAGGTACATCACCTCAATTCGGATATGCTATTCCAAACATTATTATTATTTTTTTGATTCATATTTGTAATTTGTTTTTAGATCCATAGTTTTATTATTAAGATTCCGTTTCAGACAATTTTAAAACCTGAATATTCAGAACTGATCGAATCGGAATACATTTTTTGTTGAAAATGTTTAAATCTAGATTCTTAGAAATATACAATTAAATCATTTACTTTATTATAATAAAAATTAGTAATTGTATTAAAGTTTACACACAATTTTTATCATTACTTTGATTCATCTATGTAAATTTCTTTTTTAGATCCATAATTTATTATGAAGATTCCATTTCAGACAAATTAAAAACCTGAATATTCAGAAATGATCATATCAAAATACAATTTTTGTTGAAAATTTTCAAATTTAGATTCTGGGAAATATAAAATTAAATCATTTACTTTATAATATGAAAAATTAGTAATTGTATTAAAATTTACACACAATTATTATTATTTAAAAAATCACATGTTTTGTCTTTTAGTGATAGATTCTTCAATTCCACATTCCTCAATTCTTCACAATTCTGCATAGTTAACTGGTAAGATTTATTGCTATAATAATTTAAAATTTTATATTAGATTAAGTATATTTTATACTAAAATAAAATTTTATTAATATACTAAATAAAATTCTATACTATAATAAAAGTTAATATTTTCAGTGATATTCCACAATCCCCCAATTATTGAAATTGGTGTTGGGCTAATTAGTTAAAAAAACATCCATAATTCAACAATATCTTTTTTTGGTAAAGGGATAATTGAGAGGGAATTAAATTTAAAGAAGAATTAAAGGGTTTTTTGGGGTTATTAAAATGAAGTAATAAATTTAAAGAAGAATAAAAAAAATGCATTCCACAATTCCTCAACATTCTGCAAACTCCAACTGGTGTATTAAATAAAGCATTCATCAGAATTCCTCAACATTCTGCAATATTGGTGTTACCAGTTAGAGCCTAAGTTGCAATTTGATAGTAACTATTAACTATGTTATTGATAAGACATTATGGAATCATAAAATGATTTTGTCGTTTTGTTAGTAACTCTTGTATCTGTTTTTACTTTGTTTCGATAGTACTTTCTCCATACTTTATTTTGTTTTTGTGTACTTACTTCCCTTAAATTCAGTTTTAATGGAATCCAATATATTTAGCCAAAAAATGTTGAATACTATATCTCAACTTATTAATAACATAACTGTTTTGTTTCAAAATATCAAGAATTTAGTAAATAAATCTTGTTATGTAGTATATATTTTTTTTGTTTTGGCTTGATATCAGCATGCAAAAGCAAAGCATAACCATTTACTATCTCCAAACCAAAAACATATCTAACATTTGTAAGGTTGTAACGTGTAATTGAGATTCCATTTACATCGTTGAATGTTTTTATTTCCTTATAAAAAATAAATTATTTATTTTTGAATGTTTCTTTCTAACCATTGTTACTTTCCCAAACAAAAGTATAAGATAAAAAAAAGTTTAATACTGGAAACTGTCGTTTCTCAATATACAAATTGTTTCAAGCAAAAATTAGAATAAAATACATACAATGACAGCTGGTCTGTCTTTCTCTGTAATCGTTACACACATACACAAATATATTTATTTTATACTATTATTTTTTTAATATATTCCACTTGACAAAAATAATCAATAACAAAAATATTAAAATACGGCACTAATTACAAATACTTGTACAAAATACTGCAAAAAAAAAAATGTTGCATTCACTTCTCACTCGTTTATTATCAGTAGTATATATATAAATAAATAAATTAAACCATCGATTCTCTCTCTCTTTCATCGTCGTCTTCTTCTTCTTCTGCTGCGAGCTCGGAGCAGAGAAGGAGAGAAGGAAGGTTTAGAGTGCACTGTGCGGCGCACGGTGCTTCTCTGATTTTTTATCCTGCGCCTCTCCGTTTTCCTTACCATGCGCCTCTCCGCCTAGTTTCGGTGTCTCATGACTCTTCTTCTTCTCATTCTCTCCCCAAGGAAAAAACTCTTCTGGTTGTTTTTCAGGATAAATTCTAGGGTTTCGTCGTTTCTGCGTTGAAAAATCTCACTGGTTTTTTGTGTGTTTCGTTGATTTCCAATCGGATTTTGGAGGATTAATTAGCGATTCTCGAAATGCTTTGGATTACGAGATTTTCTGGATTTTTCTCCGCCGCGATGGCAGTGATCGTCTTATCTCCGTCGCTTCAGTCGTTTCCTCCCGCGGCGGCGATCCGGTCGTCGCATCTCGACTCTTACCTCCGACCGACACCACCAGATCGGAGCTTGTTATCGTCCTTCAGAAAATCCCCCGTGTTTCGCAATGCCGACGAATGCCTCTCCTCGGGCGCAGATTCCGGCGTCTGCAACCCTTCGTTGGTCCACGTGGCGATCACACTCGACGTCGAGTACCTCCGTGGCTCAATCGCAGCCGTCAATTCCATCCTTCAGCACTCGATGTGCCCGGAGAGCGTCTTCTTCCACTTCATCGTCTCCGAGACAAACCTAGAGTCGCTGGTGAGATCGACTTTCCCGGAATTGAAATTCAACGTTTACTATTTTGCCCCTGAGACCGTTCGCGGTTTGATTTCTTCCTCCGTGAGACAAGCTCTCGAGCAGCCCTTGAATTACGCCAGAAATTACCTCGCGGATCTGCTCGAGCCCTGCGTTAACCGGGTCATATACCTGGATTCGGATCTCGTCGTCGTCGACGACATCGCGAAGCTCTGGAAAACCGGTCTAGGCTCGAGGATAATCGGAGCTCCGGAGTACTGCCACGCGAATTTCACCAAATACTTCACCGGAGGATTCTGGTCGGACGAGAGATTCTCCGATACGTTCCGAGGGAGGAGCCCCTGCTACTTCAACACCGGCGTGATGGTGATAGATCTGAAGAAATGGAGACGAGCTGGATACACGAAACGCATCGAGAAATGGATGGAGATTCAGAGAACCGAGCGGATTTACGAGCTCGGCTCGCTGCCGCCGTTTCTTCTTGTTTTCGCCGGTCACGTTGCGCCGATTCCCCACCGGTGGAACCAACACGGGCTCGGCGGGGATAATGTTAGAGGTAGCTGCCGTGATTTGCATCCTGGTCCGGTGAGCTTGCTTCACTGGTCAGGGAGTGGCAAGCCATGGTTACGACTCGATTCGAAACGTCCTTGCCCATTAGACGCTCTTTGGACGCCTTACGACTTGTATCGTCACTCGCATTGACGCCGCCGGTTTTTCGCCGTCGCCGGGTAATCATTTTCTCAACAAAAACTCTGTTTTTTTATTTATTTTTCGGTGTAATTTAATAGTTGCTTTATGTTAGTTTGCTCATCAGTAGTTGAACCACTATAGTCACTTCACTTTAAAATTCCTGAGAAAACCTGCTCTCGTTTTTCTTTATTACTATGGAGATAAGACTAGAGAAGAGTCCGACTTTTTTTCTCTCTGGCTTGTTGCTTCATAGAATGTTGCAGTGAAGCTCTAGATTTTTTGCAAAGATTTTGATTGTCTCTTTGTTTTGTCTAGTTGATACACCATTGTTGTTTTCTGTCGGTGGATGTGATAAGCACAGTGTGCCACTATGTAGGGTTGTCTTCACCAAATGACAAATAAGTGGCTCCTTCTATGGGTCTGATTATAGAGCATTGTTACATTTAGCTCCGAGATAAGTCGTCCTTAGGCTCAATTGTGCTTTAGGTAACTGTCTTGCGATTTCAGGACTTAGCTTGTGCTTGTTAGTGTCATATCTTTGGGTTAAGAGAGGTGTGTTTAGCTACTAGTTAGGTGAATTTTGAGATTAAGAGGAGAAGAGTGAATAGAGAGACGTGTGAACAACGTTCTCTAAACCATCCCTATAAACACAGCTAATTAGAGTGCCAAAGAAAAGAATTGGTCTGTTTGTTCTTTGTGTTGGTGTATAAAAATCTGTGGTGACCCCACGGTCTCTTTTGTTCTTTATAAAAATGTCGAAAAGCAAAGGGGACCGATTCTTTACAGACCCCATTTGTAGGTGACAATGGCTTTTAGTAGAATCTTACCATTGATTGGGTCGAGCCAGCTGGTTATGTTCTTTCTAATCACATGTGGGTCTGATTATGACCATCAGGCTTTTTATTTCTGGTCTTCAAAGAATCTTATCATTAGATATGTTTTTAGGAGAAATCTTGTAAATTTACTATTTGATTGTTTTAAAGCAGCCATTGGTGTTGTATGAGGAGACTGGAGCAGGAGTAGAGGAGGTTTCATCGACCTTGACCGGTTCGGGGTGGAAGAAAATCAAAGGTAGCTTTTGTTGTAGAAGAAGATGAAAACCCTTGCCGGTAAATTGGGTTTGGTTTAGAGGCGGTTTAGACAAACCGGAGACACAATTGAGATGTGGGAATCTTTTTTTAAATTTTAATGTGTGGTTTGCCGGCGGGTTGGATCATTTTTGTTGGGGAGTAAAAGGAAAAACAGAGTTAGGTAATTCATGTGGATGATATTTTGTTGTTTTTATCATTAATTTTATTTTTCCCTTATAAATAATTGTTTTTGGTATTTTGTGCAGAGATTAGTGTCCTCTCATTATAAAAGAAAAACCATATACCCAACAAGTAGAGAGATTGATTTGGTTAATGGCTTATGTTCCTCTTGTAGCCTCACTTGAACATATCATGTTCCTTGAAGTATTCCTCTATTAGTGTCGGTCCAAAAAAGTGAATTTTTATTCTTATTCTTCTTCTTTCAAAATAAAATAAGAAAATATTTTCCGTTTAAATTATATTTGTGCTTCTTTGGTCAGTTTGACACCTTGTCAGTGAATAAGTCTTGCCTTAAATATAAGGCTTATGGTAATGACAAAGTCGACTTATTCTTATTTACAAAAATGTATAATGACGATGAAGAAGAGCTCGAGCTTCGGCTCAATTGCTTGAATGGGTCTGAAGAAGGGTCCTCGCAGCCAATATAAAACCTGTAAAATTTCCATTACAACAATGTGAGGTTTAAAGATAAAATGTCTGTCTGAGATTCGAGACAATAGTCTTTTGAAAAGGAAAAGGACTTGCCTACAAACAGAGGAGAAGGTCTAGTGGGTCTTGACTTAAACTCTGGATGAAACTGAACTCCAACATAGAAAGGATGATCAGGAAACTCAATCACCTGTTGAAACAAAAAGCAGGTATTGAAGAGAGACCAAGACCAAATACGGTTATGCAAATTTGATGTTATGTATGTGTCTCTATACCTCAACTCGTTTCCCTGAATCATCTTTGCCCACAAGTCTTAAACCAGCTTCTTCAAGTGATTGAGCTACTTCTGGATTCACCTAACATCACCAAATCAATCATTGTGATCAATTCTGTCTATCTAGTAATAATATTAAATGAAAAACCAACCTCGTAACGATGCCTATGCCTTTCGTCCACATAACTAACGTCGCCGTATCTGGTAAATGCCCGGAGAAGAACAACATGTTAGTCTTCAGATCATGAACTAAAAAGTACAAGGAATCTCAAGGTAACAGCTGAAGCTAAATGCAAGTTATGCTTACAGTTTTGAGGTGAGAGAGTCTTGGCTCTGTAAATGCGTTCTTCGGGATCCTAGTCTCATTGTACTTCCCATATGCGTTCTTGAGCCCTGTGGTAATATAAAAAAATGAATGAGAGAATGAAAATGAGTCCATTTTGATAGGTTTACATGTTCGGAAATACCTACTTCTGGCATGAATATAATAACAGGGTCAGGTGTCTGCGCATCGAACTCGGTGCTATTTGCTCTTTCCATACTTAGAACCTGAAACCAATGTCAGCGATTAAGAAGAAGAAGAGAAGAGCTAAAATGGTTTTAGGGAGGGAAATGGTTTGAAAGAAGTTGTCTTACAGATCTGGCAAACTCAATTACTGCTATTTGCATCCCCAAGCAGATCCCAAGATAAGGGATTTTGTTCTCTCTAGCGTATTTTGCTGCTAAAACCATTCCACTCACGCCACGATCTCCAAAACCACCTGGAACCAGAATGCATTCTGCGCTCTGCAAAAGTAAAAAAAAATGAGACTAAAGTCTCCGCAAAGAATGTCTCCTTTTTGTAGATAAGTGACGGAACTTTTCTCTCACCCTCAGAATATTCCAAGCAGCAGCATGTGCTTCAGGAGTCTGCAAAGGAGAAACTGATGCTTTAAGGAAAACAAAAAACTCTTGATCAGAAAGAATCTAGAAGATGGTATATACCGATCTTCCACTTTCGTCTTCAAGATCGGAAGCTGCAATCCATTCGATCTTTGGCTTCAATGAACATGCAATGCAGGAATGAAGAAGGGCCTGCGCAAAGAGGAAATTATAAAAGAGAAAGAAAAAAAAGAGCAAACCAAATGCGATAGACATTTTCTTCTTCTAAGTTTACCTTAACAACCGACAAATAAGAATCCGTAAAGCCAACGTACTTTCCAACCATAGCAATGTTGACCTGTGCATAACAGAGGGATAGTCTCTTTGAATAATAATAAATTAAAGGCTATAAAAAAAAGTGTTCAAAGGCTATAAAACCAGCAAATGCTCACATGATTTGTTAAGTTATCAAAAGTCTCAGCCATAGTAGTCCAGCTATCGAGATCAGGTGCTGTTGCAACGCTGAAAGACATGAGTTTTGTGGAATTTTGTGTTACGCTCAAAGTGTTAACTTGTGATGTTGAAGCAATGAACACCATACGAAATGAGACTAACCTAGTTAGATTCAGATGATTAAGAATCGAGTGATGAGCGTTTTGGTTCTGCACACATGAAAAAGTACTTTAACAACAAAAACACATATTACAATTTCCAACTTTCTTTCTCTTTGGAAGAGCCCAAAAACTTACTCGGAGTAGGAGAGGAACATGCCATATGTTTGGAACATCATGGATATTTAGAATATTAGCAGCCTGCAATACATAAATCAACAAGTGATAATAAATCCCAAATGCATAAGATACACATCCGTTAAGTAAATCCACAACGTAGACTTCACAAAAGTTATACCGGCACATGACAAAACTGAGACAATTTCGCCTTCGTAGCTTCCATTAGTGGCTGGTGGCAAAACAAAAGAAGAAGAAAGATATTAAGGCATGTCAAGACTCTTCAGTAACTGAGGGAGCTCACAGTTTGAAGCGATACCTCAGCAGAGCGACAAGCCAAAAAGTGAGGAGTCAATCCCAAAGCCCTTAGTTCTCGAACACTGTGTTGGGTTGGCTTTGTTTTCTGCATGAAGGAACAGATTTACAAATTTGAGTCCGATTTTAAAGTTAACCATAATTTAACACATGTATAAGTAAGGAAATATTGTACCTGCTCCCCAACAACACCAATAACAGGAATCAAGCTGACATGAATAAGGCAGAAATTTTCTTGTCCTAACAAGCGAAAGATGAAGGAACATCAACAAGAGCCACTGAAAGCAAGCTCAGGGAGGAGGAGGATTCACATGCTTACCAACTGAGAATGACAATTGTCTCAAAGCCTCGATAAATGGCATTGACTCAATGTCACCTATCATAATTCATAAGCGAAACATAAAAAAATGTAAGAGGATCTAAAAAACAGATATGGATTGTATTGCTAATAGCTCTTACCAACAGTCCCTCCCAACTCAATAACACAAACATCAGCTTGGCCTTCTCTTCCATCAACAGGAATCAGAGAGACTGACTCAATCCAATCCTTGATCGCATCTGTGATGTGTGGAACAACCTAAAAGCCGATTTTCACAGAAGAAAAAATCTTAAGTTTAACTACAAAAATCAAAACACAATTTACTAAATTCACACACACAAACTTTTTACCTGAACAGTCGTCCCTAGGTAGTCGCCTCTTCGTTCCTTGTCAAGAACAGACTAGTGAGAGCAAAAAAAGTAAAAACGTTAATCATATAGCCAAAAAAAGTTAACAGCATACATTTTAACACTAAAACGCTCCCAATTCCCAAATCAGTACCTGATAAATCTTGCCAGTGGTTATGTTGTTGTCTTTGGTTAGTGTCACATCGAGAAATCTTTCATAGTTTCCCAAATCAAGATCAACCTTAAAAGGAACACAAAACAATCGGCTTTAGCAACAAGGTGCTTTATGAACAAACAAAAATGTCTAAGGAAATGACAAAAGAAGAGAACCTCTCCACCATCATCGAGTACAAAAACCTCTCCGTGCTCAAAAGGAGACATAGTACCAGCGTCAGTGTTCAAATATGGATCTGTATGATATAAATGTAAGAAATAATTCGATGATACAATGTTAAACAGAGTCGAGATCAACAAAACGAAAGGCTCAAACTTTAACGGATTTTCCTGTCGAAACCCAAAATTGTTACTATTTCTGGTCAAAATGAGAAATTCGAACTCCAAGAGAAGAGAGAGATCAAACCGATTTTAATGGAGGTAACACGAAGGCCACAAGCTTTAAGGACGACGCCGATACTACTGGCAGTGACGCCTTTGCCAAGCCCACTCACAACTCCTCCAGTCACCAAAACGTACTTCATCCTCTCCAATTTACTCGATTCGCGGTTCCTTCAGCCGACGATCTATGCGAAATGAGAGCAAAAAGCGGATCAAATGTTTTGTGTTGATGTTTGGATCAAGGATTCGGAAACTAGACAAAAAGCGACATCAAAAGCTATTGGCTTTTCAGGTTTTATGCGGAAAAAGCTTACTTGATGATAATCATAAATCATTTGCTGTGGACAGTGAATCGGGACGGTTAGATTATAGCCAATCAAAACTAAAAGGTTGTTGTTGATAGAGACTGACTTCAAATAAGTGGTGGTACCAAAATATATTAAAAAACAAAACAAAATTGCGAATTTCGCAGCAGAACCCAATTTTCCAATTCATATTATTCTTTTTATTTGTCAACTTCTTGTTAACATCTTGTATGCAATACTATTTTATTAAATTCCAAAAATGTTTAAAATTAATTCAGTTGTTTCCATGTTAGCAAGTATTATATCTGTGTAACTGTGTTGATCAACACACTCAAGATTATTATTTTTATTTTATTTTTGGTGGTGGCAAAAACTCAAAAAAAAAACAAATTATGCCATGTTTATTGATGTAAAGTTTGGGCTCTTCTTATCACTTATTCTGTTATGAATTAAGGCCCATTGGGCTTAAATACAATAATCCCGTTTCATTTACCACAATTGATTTCGTTTGTAAGCTTTAAGGCTCACTGATATTTTTTGGTTTCTCTAAATTCTTTTATACTTTGAATTTCTGAATCAAATTTTGTTATTGATCTCATCCAGTAGATCCTTGATGCAGTATAAAATTTGGTAAAGGTTCGAAAATGGGGTCGGAATCGCGATCGGCGCCGATATCAGTTTCATCGCCGGCTTCGTCTTCTTCGCCGAGCGGGAAACGAAACAGAGATCCGGAAGACGAGGTCTATCTCGATAATCTTCGTTCCCAGAAACGTTATCTTAGCGAGGTTTGCTTCTTTAGAGAATTCCCAATTTCTAGTTGTAATTCAACTGTTTGCGCTGACTAATCGATTTTAAAATCGCCATTTCAGGCTAATTTCTTAATCCTGATTTCGATTCCAATTACTTCTCTAGTTTTTTTTTGGTTTTGATTTGGTGAATCATCTTCCTCCGTAGATAATGGCTTGCAGTTTAAACGGACTAACAGTCGGAGATTCACTTCCGGTCAACATGTTAGAGTCTCCAGCTCGTTCTGAGACCTTTCTCTATCACAGGTCTGTTAAGTCACCTTCTTAAAGCTCATCGATCCCTCGCCGGAAAAAGTTTTGGGAATAGAGATGATCATACTCAAATGTTCTTTGTTCACAGAGACGACTTGCCATTACAATACTCTCCAATGTCAGAAGACTCAGACGAAGCGAGATTCTGCGAGGACCCAACAACAAATAGCACTAGCTCATCGCAACCGGAGAGCCGCCCAACGAGTCCGGTTTCGCCATACCGGTACCAAAGACCTCTTACTTCAACAAACCCGTCGTCGTCGTCAACAATCTCATCACACCATTCACATACATGCCCTACTACTACCTCCATGAGCACCAACGCAACAACTTCTCCAAGTCCACAGTCTCGCCAAAGAGGATCCGACACTGAAGGAAGGTTTCCGTCATCGCCTAGCGACATCTGCCACTCCGGTGACTTGAGAAGAACCGCTCTTCTCAGGTCTGTTCAGATGAGAACGCAGCCGTGTGGTTATGTTTCTTCAAGTTCAGGACCAAGCAATGTTGACGGTGAAGAGAGAATGTGTTGCAAGTCTATGGAAGAAGATAACAGAGTCGAAGATGTATCTTACACTCAAGTCTCTACTAAGAGCAAGTCTTGTAAAGCTTTGGATATGAGAGACTGTGAAAGGTGATGAAACGAAACTCACTAATAAAACGATTCCTTCGAATTTTCCACTTTATCAGTTAACATACAGTATATATAATCATTGGAGTCGTAATAATTTCATAAACTTTATTGAGAAAATAAAGATTATACGTTACAGATTATTTTTCGACTATCTCTTGAGCACGAAGCTGCTGCTTATCAAAGGATCTATCTGCCCATGAGTGAGTGTTGAAGAGGACGTGCTTGTCAAGTGGGTGTCCAGGTTTGCAGACGTACTCCACAATGTAATCCACGCTGACACAAGGGATCTCGTGCCTTATAAACTCTTGGATCCAAACGTCGTCTTGAGACACTGCCGGGCTGATCAACGCAAAATCAGTGTTTTCATTCAAGAAACGCGTGTAAGGCGGTGCGGTTGCTACTATCGTACCACCCCCAGCTTTCACTGCTCGCTTTAACGTATCCTGGATTAGTGAGAAACAACAAAATTTAGAAAATATGCGACCATTCTGGTGTTTAACTGGATAAGACCATTTTTTTATTGTGCGAATGTGAGAAAGATATTACTTACCAAAGAAGGGTTGGTGCAGTCACCGTATACAACAATGCGCAATCCATATAAAGCGCCATGCCCTGTTTGCTCTTTGACGAGCCGCCATTTCCTTGGGGCCTCAAGGCTTATTGCTCTATCAGTGCTAGGTTCACTACTGTGCCATTCATAAGGCTCCTCTGCTAATAGTTTCCCAGCTTCCTTTGAATCAGCCACATAATCAGTCTTCAGAATCCAACTGCATCAAAAGGAAAGTCATGAACAAAGATAAAATCAATGGAGAAGCTCAAAGGAGCAAGATGTTTAATCATGCTTATTAGGAGGGCTTGATTTGTACCTTCCAGATGCAGCAGCAGCGAAGAACTTTTCGGTCCTACGGATTTCAGGAGTGACGAAATGTGTTGCCTGATAAGACCACTGATGAGAATCCCTGCAACATTTGCCATTTAAACGCCTAAGGATCTGCTGGAATTCTTTTCTCTGGGACTTAGGACCACTGACAATGAAATACTTAGGCTTCTCTTCTTGCTCCAAGACTGTTCTACTAGCTAAAGGCTTGGAACTAACTGCCTTTGTACCAGTTCCAGCTTTCTTTCTAGCTAATGGTTTTTTTGAAACCAGGGTTTTCTCTGCACCAGATTTATTCTCCGCTGCAATGTTCTCCTTCTCTTCTCCAGAGTTATCCCCTATATCTTTCATCACAGTGTCGGATGCTTTGGCGCCACGTTTTTTAGGCTTCTTGACACTGGAGTTTCCTGCTTTAACTGTAGAAGAACTTCCCTTTTTTGCACTTCTTTCTACAGTAGCCTCTACAGCAACTGGGCTTTGGGCTCCATCAGAACTGACATCCCCAGATTTCTTATCAACTGCTGCATTCTCCTCCACTTCTGCAGAGTTAATCCCTGTATCATTCATCTCAGTATCGTTGGTTTTGGCTACATCTTCTTTTTTAGAGTTTTTCGCCTTTTTGGCACTGGTTTTTCCTGCTTCGGCTGTAGGAGAACTTCTTTTCTTTCCACTTTGAAGATTACTTTTTCCGACAGTGGCCTCCTTTCTGCGTTTACCTTTATTCTTATCAACCACTAATGGCATTGCAGGATCGCTTGGATCCTTAGTATCAGATTCCTTGCTTGCTGATGTTTCTCCCGCAACTGGGCTTTGGTCTACACCACAACTGACCTTCCCAGAATTACCATCCAATGCAAAGTTCTCCATCTCTTTGGCAGAGTTATCTCCAATATCATTCAGCACTGTATCTTTTGCTTTGGCATCATCTTCTTTTCTAGATTTTTTCGTTTTCTTGCCGCTGGATTTTCCTACTTCGGCAGTAGAAGAACTTTCTTTCTTCCCCCTTTGAAGGCTATTTTTCCCTACCGTAGCCTCCCTCGTGCGCTTGCTTTTATTCTTACCAACCTCTGATTGTAGTGCACCATCACTTGGATCTTTAGTTGGAACATCATTAAGCTCCGGTTCTAGCGTTGTAATTTCCAACTCTGCATCAGCTTTCTCCGGGGTCTTAGCCTGCAGCTTTCTCTTCTTATCCTTAGAGTCAATTTCCTTAAGGGCTTCAGTCTCTGATTCAATATGATTTGCCACTTCTGATACAGCCTCAGTATTTAGGACAGGACTTGATATCTCCTTCTGATAGCCATTATCTGTTACTGGCGCTGAATCTTTTCCTTTGTTTGAACAATCAGTGCGCTCGTCCTTTAGGGTAGGTTCGCTCAAGTATATAGATCCTTTTTGGTTGATGGGAGTCTTTTTCCTGCCTCTGGTGCCTAGGCTCTTTCTTGGAGCTGAATTTTTCTTGGGCATCTCTGCTTCCAGCTGGTCTTTCATTTCAGTTAAACCCGACCTAGGAGAGGTGCTAGATCTCATCATCACAGGCTCAGTTCCGGATCTTTCGGGTGCTTCATCCAATGAACCCTTCAAAGTAAAATTTCCTGAAGTATCAGCTTCCATGGGCACAACACTTGAAGTGAACAGCCTAATTGCTGAATCACTCATATCTTCAACTTCCCTGCCATCAGTGTGGTCGCTGATGTTTGGCACAACCCTGAGGTTTTGTTTAGGTGAGCCCGATCTTGGCTCCTGCAATAAGATATTCCCCACCATTAGCTCAGTCGATGATCTCTCCGGTAACTCATCCAGTGCAGATTTGGAAATGATATTCTCCGCAGTTGACATAGCACCGTCCATGGGTACCACTACCACATTGGAGCTCAATAGTTTAGTATTTGAAACACTTGCAGGTGTTTTATGGCCACCTTCCTCAATCTCAGTTGGATCAGTAATGCTCGGCATAGGCTTAAGGTTTTCTATAGGCGAACCTGTTCTTAATTCCTGCAATAACAAACTAGCCGGTGGTGGAATACTTGCCGCGCTGTTGTGGTGTACCTTTTCTGAACCTTTGCTGCTGGCAGATCCATCGGTAATTCTTGCCTGAGGCAACAACGGAGGGGTCTCCTCGCCAAACAACTTATCAACCTTGTCAAAATCCTCAAAGAGTGTTCTTCTTTCCACAGTAGAACCTGATTTTGATGCAGAGAAATCAAAGGCAGTCGAGGCTTCTAATCCCCTGTCATCCATTCGGAGGGTACCGTTTTGGCCAGTTGATTCGTTTCCAAATGTTTCTGGTGATTTCCGAAGTGTTTTCCTTGAATAAGTGGCTAGAGAAGAATGCCTTCTGATACTCATGTTAACAGCTGTTGAGTCATCGGTTTCCAATCTGCCTATCCCTTGCTCAGAAGTCTTGTTGACTGGAACGGGGGACGCATGATTAGAAGTATTCTGAAGAGTGCTTGCTCTCTGATCATTAGGCTGCTGAGGAGCAAGTGCTTCAGTAGAGACCATGGTTTCAAGAGGTTTGCTCTTCGTTTTCGGAGTCAACCAATTGTCTTTGGACGTATTACAGAGAGATGAGCCGCCTGGTGCAACTGGATTTGTTTGAACAACCGGAACATCTTTTCCTCCCGACTTAGACACTTCAACTGCAGCCACAGCACCGACCCTAAGACCAAGAGGGCTCTTGTTTGCACGCTTCACAGAGGCATCTTCTGCTTCGTCCTCAGAATCCCGAGCTGAAGCCTCCATCATCTCCAAATCATAGCCACTGAGAAAAGAGAAAATCATCAGCTTGTAGTGGGAGTAAATGCTTAGTCCAAATTTTTCATGTTGATGATCAATTTATTTAGAAAGCTACAATTCATCTTTCGATAAGAGACTATACCAACTCTAGAGAATAACAGTTCCAGTAATCATGTATTTCTACCTTATCTCGTAGTCATCCTCTGGGAGGAGCTTCCAATTCTTTAAACTGTAAAAAAGAAGAACAAAATGTGAGAATCAACATCGCATCCACAAAGCCAAAACGAAAAAGAGTATGAACAAAACTCCCCGTACGCCACTTACCAGTCCTCTAACCACCGGTGGTTCACTAGTTTAGCCCTCTTCATCCGCTTAGCTAGCTCATACTTCTCTCCTGAGCAGAAAAAGAGACTCCATCAAATGTTTATTCCCACCCAAAAAGAAACACCAGCTTTAATTTAGACACTTCGACTCACCCTCAAACTTGTAGCATATAAGATGGGTTACTCGGTTCGCAACCAATGGCTTCAAGAACTGCCCCCCCATCAAATCAACCATCATCTGAAAAAATGAAGTAACCAACGTTCATAAGGTTAATTAAAGAAATCACATTTGAAAAGAATCACACATAACAAGAAGAAGTAGCACACACCATAATGTCCTCTCTGTCTTGATGTTGGTACCCAGTCAAGCACACAACTAAGCTTTTAGCCCCCGGAATCCCATTCAAATCTTTAAGTGGCCTGTACAAAATCTGCCAAATTACGCAATAAGATAAACCCTTGAGTAAAACTCGTTACTGAAATCATCATCTTCTTCTTTTCTTGAACTAATCATAGAGAAACTGACCGATTTTGCATCTACAAGCATTCCAACATCAAAGCTGTGATCGACCCATGATCTAGTGACAACTACCTTCCCACTGCTTCGAGCAGCAACACATAACGGATCATCCTATAAGATCCCAAAAGCAAAGTAAGATTTTTTTCAACTAAGAAGACAATAATAGAGAGAGAGCCAAAAAAAATAGAGATGAGACTTACATAAACAAGTTTATCTACAATGAGGTGAGTACAGGTTTCATTGTATTGCCCAACATCAGTACCACCACCGTCCAGAAGCTTGGATCGTAACTGTAGTGAGATCATGGGCAAAATTGACACGAAAATTCGTCAATGAATCAGAATTCTAGTGAGTAAATAACCTGTAATCGTTTTACTAAACAACGGAGATTGCTACCATAGAATCAATCGGAAACCCTTGAAATGCAAACCGCATCTCTAAATTAAACCCCCAAAAAAAAACGATAAAACCGAAGAATTGACGATGGAAATAGAGAAATACCTTGTTTCCGTCGATGGAACTGAATCCAGCGAGAGCGAATCGAACACTCGAAAACGTCGGCGAAGGAAAACCTGACTCAGGCATCTCTTTCTTTTCACTGTGAAAAAATTAGGGTTACAGGGTGAAGAAATAAAAGCTGGGCTTGAATCGATATCCAAATTTAAACAGATAACTGGGATTTTGCATAGAGACAATCGAGAGAGAGAGACTGCTGATAGAGCTTCTCGGGGAAGATTTATTGTGGGGATGTAGTAAGCGGGGGAAAATGAAAACTTTTATTTTTCTTTTGCAACGCTGAAACGGTTCGGCGGGAGAAGCAAATTAGAGACGTGAAACTAATGGGCTTTATAAGGAAAGCCCATAACCATAAAGAACGTCTACAAGCACAAACCATTGGGCTTTCAAAAGTAATTTGTCATAACCACAGCCCAATTAAGGTAAACAACCACTTCAGTGATTTGGTGGGGAGTACTGAGTAGTTGACTGTATGTTTGAAAAATGATTGATTTTACCAAATAATTTTAGAAAATGAGGGGTACTAAAATAGTTTTAGGGTACTTTATAGAACACAAGAAAATGTGTTGTGGGTAATTTTCGTTTAAAAGCATAACCAAATGAAATTGAATTTGCTTTTACCATTTAGTTTTGGTCTCATTTGAATTAACTTTTAATCACGTTTAGCGTGAGCTACAGTTCTATAATTTCTACCTTGGTAGATTCGAGAAAACACTCATTTACCAATGTGTTGTCTGATTTGTGGCATGCAAAGACACACGCAAATGAAAGTTTCACAGTGATTTTAAAGTAAAGACAAAAATCCCAATGAGAAAGTGAATGAAAAAGCAGAACCAAAGTTATGGGCAGCAATAATAATAAACTGACTATATATTATACATTCATGTACCTTTCGAAATGTCATGTCTGAACGAGAAGAAGAAAGTTTTGTCCTTTGCTAGTTTCTTCGTTTTGCGTGCATTTGATTGGACCTGTGTCAATTCTTTCTTTCATTTTTTTATCCTTTTCTTCTCTTTTTTTTTTTTCGTTCGCAGTTACCCAATCTTTTATTATTTCTGTTGACACAACCAAAAAAATCTTTTACTTTTTCCTAACTACCAACTTTAGTGGATTTGACATGACAACGTGTTCAATACTTCAATTTAACATTTTATCAGTTCTTTTTCCAAATATCAAATTCAGTAATAGACAAAATAAATATACTGAAAACAAATCAAATTGTAATCGAAAAAGACAAATAAATCAAAAGATTAAAATACTGTTTTAATATCAGTTGAATTGATCATTCGTTTGTTGAGTGATAGCAGCTATAACGAATTGTCAAACTGCAAGTTTTTGTTATTTCAAATTAATTTATCATAACGTTTGTATAAAGTACTATAAACGATAAGGATATGCAACAAACTGATTAACGACAACTCAGATGAGAAAAGAGACGAAACAATCAAACATGTTCTCTTCAAACCTCTTCACGACTCACACCTGTCGACGATATTTGTAACTTGCATTGTCTCATAAAGTATTTCACTTGTAACCAAAAAGACTACCTTTAAAGATATTTTTTCCATGAGGTCGACTATATTAGATCTGCATATATAGTTTTATAAATGGTATCAACAAAGATCATGTGAAAACGATATTTTAAGATTTTCATGATCTGTTTCCTCACAACTCATGGGTCGTATTCTTCCATTACTGTGTCGCAATAGTAAAAGAAGTATAGTTGGAAGAAAGAAGAACGAGGATAAAATATATATATTTGATCACTTGCTATCTTTTCAACTAACAAAAATATAAGAAACTAGGGGTGATCCGTGCTTCGCGCGGTTTGTATTAATTTTATTGTTTTTCCAAAAATTTAGTATTTTTCAAAAATATTATACACATATTACTTAAATATAATTATAGTTAGACAAAAAATTTGTACCGTCTTGTTCCATCCCGTCTCATTTCGTTCATTTTCATTATGTACGTTCTTTTCCGTCCCGTCTGTCCTGTATGTCTTGCCCGTCCAGTCTCATCCTATACGATTTTGTTATTTTTCATTTCGTTTCTTCTTGTCTCGTTCCCTAAATATAATTAAGGTTAGACATAATTTTGTTCAGTTATGTTCATTTTCATCCTGTCATGTTCTTTCCTGTTCCGTTCGTTCTGTCCGCCTCATCCAATCTCATTCCATCCTATAATGTTATTTTCTATTTTATCTTGTCTTTATCTCGTTTCTAAATATTTAGGGTTAGGCAAAATTCATGTCCTGTCCTTTTCCATCCCATTATGTCCCTTTTCGTCTCATCCCGTCCAATCCGTCATATTCTATTTCTTTTCATTATGTCATGTTCAACCTTTCTGTCTTGTCCTATCTCATCATGTTTTTCCGTTCCGCCCTAAATATAATTAGAGGTAAGCGGAATTTATGTTTTGTCCTACCCTGTTCTTTTCTATTCATTTAGATCTCGTCTCGTCACTTAATATAATAAGAAGCAAACAAAATTCATCTCTTCTCTAGTTCTATTTTTTTCGTCTCGTCATGTTTGATCTTGTCTCATTCCATACCAAAATACTAAAAAAAAGTGTTATTTTTATAATATATTTCCATTATTATTATTATTATTACTAAATAATAGTTTTTTAGATCTATATATAACTTTTTTGTTAAATGACTTTTCATATTCTTATTAAGTTACTATAGTAATAAATGATAATTATTATAAAAACTAAAATAGAAAAATAGAAAATATACTAAATAAATTGATATGTTGATGTGACGATTTGAGGAATTTAGAAACACCCTCTAAAAGTAATGTGGCAACACCAAAATAGAATAACATCAACTTTATATATATATATTTGAAATGATCATCATTTCACATAAATACGATGTTTTTACTGTTTACTCGATCTACATTATAGTGACTAGTGTACTGTGTACACTCTTTTCCCAAATGTGCTAATATTTTTGTCTTCTAAAATTGTAAATGCAAACACATTATATAATGTACATATTTGTATATTCGGTTTAAAAGAAAACAAAAAAGAGTCAAATTATATATTTTCCTACGAAATATTCAATCGCTGTGACAACAAAAAAGGTTTATCTCATCAGACGGAAACAGAAACACAAATTTGAATAGTGAAATAATTTTTGTTATAAGACGAGACTATTATGTATCACTTTCTTGGGTTTTGTCGTTTAGAAAGAGAAAGGAATAAAGAAGAAACAAACAAGTGAGAAAGCTCCAAAACTCTCGGGCAGACAATATTCTTATTATCCATAATTTCATCCAATGTGATCTGTCTTTTCTTTTGTACAAACTGCGGAATCAAGAAGAAGAACAACAAATTTCAGCAACTAAGAGCTTCGTATTTAACCGGAATCGGTTGATTAAACCCGGCCCGTGCAATCAAATTCCCAACCACAGTTAAATCTCTACAAAACACTCCTTTGACCACATTCGTGTTATTGTTGTTACTATTCGCCGCAACCACAGCCGCTCTAATCGGCGTTTCGATTTTATTGCTCCTTTGAGTTTTTTCCGTTACAGCAGCAGCGGCTGCTTTTCGTTGCTTCTCCGCCTCTTGTTCCGTCGCGATGTTACTTGTCACGACAGAGTAACCTTTTTGGATCAATCTGTACAGTAAAAGCGTTGACATTCTGGCTCGGTCCTTAACCGAGTCTAATTCTTCTTCGTCTTCGGTTAACTCAAACCGGTCAATAAATGACATCGATCTCTCCGGTTTATGCTTTAAATTGAGTAATAAGTAAGCTCGATCCAGCTCTGATCTCGAGCAATCGCGTCTGATTCCCATCAGAGCGTAGTAATCCACGTTTCCGATTTCTCCGTTTGCGATTTTCAGCTTCAACTGCTGGATTTTCGTGGTCAAAACGCATAGTTTTCCCGGAATTTCTCTGTACCGGACGTTATGCCGTTTCCAAACCGGACCGGGAAGTTTCCGGTCACGTAAGATTGAGTTGTAGAGGAGTTTCAGGTGTTCTAAATCGTGAAGCGAATCGGGGAAACACCTAACGGATTCGAGCAATGCGGCTCTGGTTTCCAAGGCTTGGAGGCACGACGGATCTAAGGCTAAGGTTTTGTTGCAATCGGCGATGGATTCCGCGATTCTGCCGGCGGATCTGTAAGCGGAGGCGCGATGCATAAAGCATTGGGCGACGAATCCCTGCGGCGCGCCACGGCGGCTGTCTAAGATTTTGGAGAAATGGCGGATTGATTCGGAGTAGAGTCCGGCGTCGAGAGCTGCGAGTGCGGCGGCGCGCCGTCGTAAGAGGAGCTTGATGTGAGATAGCACGTGAGCGACGCTTTCGGATTCGGTGAGAGATCGTGGCTGAGACGCGGAAGTGACTACGACGGATGAAGGAGGAGGAGAGGAACCGCCATCGACTGAGGAGAAGAGGATGAAGCTGTCGTCAGACAAGCAGATGCTTTGACGGCGGAACGCGGCGGTGGCGAGGCGTTTACCGGTTTGGAGAAGGACCATTGCGTCCTCCATTAGACCTAGATGGCAACAAGCTTGACCTAGAACCAAATATCTGTAACCGGAAGAAAAGATCCGAATCAAAACCGGGTTCGGTTTCATTTTCCTAATCGACGGGATAAAAAAAAGAAGGAATTGATTATTACCTCCATTGCCCTTGTTCGTTGCAGTTTTTACTGAGACCTGCCCTGACTTTCTTCTTCAAATCAGAGACGGAGAAGCATTTGAAAGACGAGTCATGACTCGGCAAATCGTTCAGAAGTTTGACCGATTCTCGAGACGAATGCGTGGACGATAGCTCCGATGAACCGATTCCGGGGTCTTCGCCGGCCAATTTCAGGCTCGGAATGTAATCCTGAAGCATATCGGCGACGTCTTTGAATCGGCGGAGGTAGAGAAGCGATCTGGCTTTGAGTTCGAGAGCGAGTTCGTATCGAGGAGATACAGAAAGTGCAGATTCGAGAACAGTGAGAGCCGATTTGACGTCGTTCGGATCTTGGCTTGCTATCAAATTCCTCGCTTCCTTCATATACTTATCCACGATCTGGGAAAAAAACAAAACGCGTAGAAGCAGATAT